TATTTTCAGCTTCTCCTCGCAACGCTCCAGTATTCGCCACTCTGTGCTAAAATGTCTCAAAGCAAACATGAACTTTCACTTATTTTCCGGGCCCCTCCAGTCAGGTTACTAGTGTTTACTCACGAAAGGGAAGTCCCAGTCTCCTGGCTCATCTGAGACAAGAGGGTGTTAAAATAGGAGAGGGTGATTCATCAGGTTATTGTTCACAAAGACCCCTTGATGATACTTGGCTACTTTCCAGATTTTTTTACGCACATTGCATCCACAGACACTCACAAGCACATTGAACCACAAACAAAGGAAATAAAAAGAGGCAATCGTAACAGATGCAAACAACTTTCCATATGACATGCTCTCTATACCCTGTAATAGTTTATCACGCACAAGTGCAGCAGTCATTTGTAAGTCATGCAGTATCTTTAATATAAAAAAATATGTTTAATTCTCCTTCCCGGAGGAACAACAACAATATGCATAGAGAGATGCTGTCACAAACACAGCTTTAGCCTTGCAGCAGAATTGAATGGAGTGCCTTTGTATGGTCTTGTATGAGTGGCCTGTAAACCAACAGTAGTGGCTCTACATGAGGCTGCCTCTTTGTCTGGGATCCACGTGTGGACAGGACACAATTGTCGCCTCTGTGTTCAAGAGAAAGGATGGCTCGTAGTTCCCGTCTTTTCAGTTTTTATTATGGAAGACAACAAAGATGGAAAAAAACAGGCGTGTCAACCCGGCTTCCTTTTGTGACCTTGACAAAAAGCGTTCCTCCAGACTTCAAAAGCTGTCTTCCTGACTTTAAGCAGAGGAGCAAAGGCCTCCTCTTTCCTGGCACAGTCATTCCTCTTATTTCCTTTGGTTTGACTTGGTTGGCTTGTGTGCAGAGTTATTGTTCTGTGCTTATCAAACTCAACACAAAGTCTGCTGTCAGAAACTATATACATCAACTTGACTGATGTTTGTGCACTTCCTCAAAGTGTTATGTCCCCTGTTTTAAACTGCTATTCTGGTCCAACTGTCTATTTATGTCCATGAGCAATCATGAGTTTTTTTACCAAGGAAAATGTAATCTTCTAGAACAAACTTGGCTTTACTTTTGTTGTCCAATTCAATTATAGCTGGTTTTGTGCTATTCAGCATGCACTTGTGGTTGTAACCTACTTTATAGATATATTTGGTTGTAGAAATAGGTTGCTAGAGTCCATCTGTTTAGGCTGACATGATTTTTTGTTACAAAATGTTTTTTGTTCAGCAAAACGTGCTTGTCTGAAAAGATACAACTTAAATGTCATTTTTACAGGAAGCCTAGTGGATTACTTGAAAACCACAGAGGGAGGCAGTTTGCCAGTGAACAATCTGATAGACATGGCGGCTCAGGCAAGACAACTCTCTTTTTTACTGTCAATGAATCTGTGCTTTTATCTACATTCTCCATTTACCATACTCTGTTTCGTTTATTCTTTCACAGCCTATTCTCTCAGCATGATCCTCATAGACAGGAAACTAGCCACTGTTGTAATGAGACTTACACTCAACGCTGTATGACAGAGCAGGGTGTGTGTGTGTGTGTGTGTGTGTGTGTGTGTGTGTGTGTGTGTGTGTGTGTGTGTGTGTGTGTGTGTGTGTGTGTGTGTGTGTGTGTGTGTGTGTGTGTGAGCAGAGGTGCATGTGGTCTAGACATGTTGTCACAAATAAAACTGGTTACAACCAAAGAACCAGAATAGGGGAGAGATTCACCTTTTTATTGACCCATGTGAAAGTTCTTGTTGTGATTTTAAGCCTGAAAAAAGACAAATCTGGTCAGTTACACACCAGAAGTGTAAACAAGGATTAACACCGACTAAAAGTTCAAGGGGTATAACAACATTTTGGGAGTACACTTATTATGTATTTTGTGCCGAGGGCTTCACTAGAATATGATACCGTTCTCATATGTTTCTGTTAAATATGAAGCTACAGCCAGGAGACAGTTATCTTAGCCTAGCACACATACTGGAAACAGAGGGAAACAGCTAGTCTGGCTTTAAAAGTTAACACAATATGCCTACCAGCTCATCAACAGCTCACTTATCAACATGTTATATCTGGTTTAAAAAGCTTTATACTATTGGACAGCGCCAGCCATTTGGCCATGGTTCCAATCTTTAAGCTAGGCTAGGTTTAGCTAAGCTACTGGTTCTAGCTTAACTTTTAGCATACAGATAAGAACGGTATAAATCTTCTTATCCAGCACACAGCAACGTGAAAGGATATGAACAAAATATCGCAATGTTATCATTCCTGCATCTACTTCTTTAAATGTTAGACGCTAATAAAGGAATTTAGTGGGTGTGGGAAACCCAGCCACCGGAAGACAGAATGATCTTTCAAAGTCTAACAAGAGATTCTTCATTTGAGAATAGTTTCATACAGAGCTTTGAGGTAAACATGGTTTAAAAAAGACTAGCGAGTCGTCATGCTCTTGTGGTAAAAGCCCTAGCAAGTAACTCTAAAATTAAAGTGATGAATGACCTTGCTCGGCCACAGTAGCCCATTGGACCCTCTGTCCACATACTTAAACCTTGACTAAAATGTCATGTGTATACATGAATGGAATCAGAAGAGTTCTAGATTGTACTGAAATATCAGCTAGGAGAGTAAAGCAGATACCTATAATTTACTGAATTCAAAGTAATGCTTTAAAGTTTCCGATTGAATCATACCACAATCAAATGGAGAGTGAAGAGGCGTTAAATTGCCTGAATTGGAAGTCATGACGACGGTAGAAGTTTATGAAATACACAGACATACGTACATCTCACGTTTCTGACAAGCCCCCCAGGGCTAATAGCACCTATGTGATACATTCTTGTGTCTGACATATACACCACTGACCCAGCAAAATGTAGAGAGTTAGAAACATTTACACAAACACACAAATGACACAGATGCTTATTAACTGTGGATTGTGAATTCTGTGGAAATCTTAATAAGATAACATCAATTGCTTTGTGCGTTAGTTTCAAGTTGCATCATAGGTCTGCTTATGTAGAAATGACTAATGATTGAATCAGAAACAGTCACTGGAATATTCAGCCAGTCTGTATAAGGTGAAGGCAAGACTGCAGCCTTTAGTATCAGGAAGTAGAGCGGTTACAGCTGGATGCACCTGGGTGGAATACAGAGGTAAAGGGTATAAGGAACTGACCTGGGGACGTGGGAAACTCCCTGCTTTGGGAGTGAACCAAAGCTGTCCATCTGTCCAACACACACAAATATTACACAATACTAAACCATACACAAGTCACTTACACTCACACTAATTCCATGCTTGAACACACAGTGATAGGACTTGTCTGATGATGTGCTGCCTCCTGCAGGTGGCGGATGGCATGGCTTTCATTGAGCAGAAGAATTACATTCATCGAGACGTGAGAGCAGCCAATATTCTGGTGTCCTGTGAGCTCATTTGTAAGATTGCTGACTTCGGACTGGCGAGGCTGATTGAGGACAATGAATACACAGCAAGAGAAGGTAACACATCCTCGGACAAATCACCCATGTTTGTCTCGAAGTCAAAACAAAAATCTAAGTATGATATAAATCTGTACAGAAGATAAGGTTTCTTGCTGTGTTCATAGGTGCAAAGTTCCCCATCAAATGGACGGCTCCAGAGGCTATCAACTATGGCACCTTTTCCATAAAGTCTGATGTGTGGTCATTTGGGATCCTCCTCACAGAAATAGTGACATATGGACGCATACCCTACCCTGGTAAATACTCATTAATTCTCATACAAGTCCATCCCAAATTCCTTTCTTAAAACACCTAAGTAAAAGTATTACATTTTTGAGACCATTGACAATTTAACTGTTTTTCAGGTATGTCCAACCCAGAGGTAATCCAGAACCTGGACCGGGGCTACAGAATGCCGAGGCCAGAAAACTGTCCAGAGGGGCTTTATAACGTCATGTGTCTTTGCTGGGGGGAAAACCCAGAGGACAGGCCCACCTTCGAGTACCTGAGGAGCGTTCTGGAGGATTTCTTCACGGCCACAGAGAGGCAGTACCAGGAGTAGCTCTCAAGAAGCAGAAAGACATTCAGACTTACAATACATGTACTCAAACTAAAGGCATTGCTCGTGAAGATGGATGCTGGATTTTGTTTTATTTGTCTTTAAACAGTAGGCTATGAGTATTTTGCTTCTACATGAATTGTATTTTTATAGTGGCCTCTTGTGGAACTATAAACCAGGAAACTCTTGCAACAGCTGGAGAGGGAAGTGATCAGCATGCTGCTTGAATAGACATGGGAACTGTTGCTGAGAAAGTAGCAGCTCTCCTGGTGCTCATTATTAAGATGTAAATACTCTCAAAGTACTCAGCTATGTTTTACCTCGAAACATTTATATATTTGTTCCTTCCTACTGGTTTTACTTACAGATAAAAGCTTAACATGGATGTTGTTTTGCTGTTACTTAAAATACAGCAGAACCGATCACAACCCATTTCACCAATGATCCCCCATCAGATTAAACTTGGTATGTTTCATACGTAAAAATAATCAAATGTTTTATTGATGCTTTTATGACTATAAATACATGTAATTAATAATACAAAATATGTGCTTTCTGGACACTGTAGTTTTAATCGTGGGTGCTGAAATTATGAAGTTATAAAAAAAACGTTTTCAGACACTAACTGTTAGTGTAGGCTATGTGATCATGGATTTCAATAATGTAATGAGGTGTGGAAAAATTCAAGTTGTTTCAGCTGCATTACTCCATTAGGAAAACTATTAACTTTACATATATATGCCTATGTTTGCTGTTAAATAAACTTGTATGGGAAAAAACTGCCATCGTCCTTATCACATTTGTCAAAAATCTAAATGTTGTTGCCTTGGGTTTTGAAGAATATACAGCACATTTTCCGATAATAATGCAATGATGTACTCAATGACAAATCTGCAAAGGGGTTAAAAACTACAAATACGTCACAGAGTGGGACGGGCTATAACTCTATCGCCCCCTGTTGAAGGCAGCTATCATTACCTCCCATTGATTCGCCTTGATACAAACTATCCGCCTCTCGTCTCTTGCGTTGTGCGGGGAAAGCCAGCAAAAGGCAGTAAAATGGCGCTTAGTTCTCAAGGAACAAAGAAAAAAGTTTGCTACTACTATGACGGTGAGTACTGTTTTCCTTGTACATTACAAACCGTTCGTGCGTATGTGTGAAATCCTGCACTTCGTGCCAACAAAGGTTGTAGTTTATTTATTCAGCCTCTTGTGCTAACCTGGCACGTTAGCTAAGCTAGCTAGCTTGAGTCGCAGGCGGGTCTCATCATCTCAGTGTAACGCAGAGCTGCTAAGTCCACAGACAGTATTTATGCCCTAATAGTATATCCGCGGTTCCAATTGATGCGTTAGTTTCCAGTAAAACACACTTGCATGCATTTATCCACCAAATAGCAGCATTTAAAACCAAATTAGTAGCCGTTACTAGCTACACAGCTAACAATGGGTAAATGAGTACTTCATTGTCGCCTCAATTAACGCCAGCACCAAGCTAGCCTTACAACGGCTCATCGTGCTACCCCCGAATACCCGGTAGTTAGCATTAGATACTGTTTTGGTCTCGATGTATTGATCCGTGTAATATGGCGCAACCTTGGAAATGTAGCTGGGTACTTAGTTTACTTTCATAGACCCGATTTTACCCCAGGATGTAGTTTATAGAGATCTCTTGCAGGATCCCAAATACATTTTTGTTGAAATCCTCGACGATCTTTTCAGTGCCCAGACCAGGAAGTTGTAGGACCTACTGTTATTTAACTTTTTACTTTGTGTTTACATTTGTTGAACGTTTACATTTGAAATAGAACCAAAAAATCCAACATGTTGTGTTTATTTTTTTATATTTCAGGTGATGTTGGAAACTACTACTATGGACAGGGGCACCCCATGAAGCCCCACCGAATCCGCATGACTCATAACTTGTTGCTCAACTATGGACTCTACAGAAAGATGGAGATATATGTATGTTAAAAGTAACATTTTAAATTAATCAGCCACACCAACTCCCGTGTCTCAGGAACTAAGTTGTCCTCTGTGTTTCAGCGTCCACACAAAGCCAGTGGAGAAGAGATGACCAAGTATCACAGTGATGATTACATCAAGTTCCTGCGTTCAATTCGACCGGACAACATGTCAGAATACAGCAAACAAATGCAGAGATGTGAGCTTAATCACAGATGTCCTTTGCATCAGTAAAGACATTGTCTTTGTGCTCATCAAACTAACTGCATACATTCTGAAATGAGAAATAGCAATAATGTGTTTATTTCTCTGCTGCTGCTTTGCAGTTAATGTGGGAGAGGACTGTCCAGTGTTTGATGGGTTGTTCGAGTTCTGCCAGCTCTCAGGAGGGGGCTCTGTTGGTACGTTTTTTGTTTGTAAATTCAGCTGGAACAATATGCTATGTTAAACTATTTTCATGCCATAGTTCCCCCATTAATCTGTCAAATTCAGTATTGGCAGGTTGTTAACTCTTCTCTGTTCTCCAGCTGGTGCGGTGAAGTTGAACAAACAGCAGACGGACATCGCCATCAACTGGGCTGGAGGCCTGCATCACGCCAAGAAGTCTGAGGCCTCCGGGTTTTGCTACGTCAACGACATTGTTCTGGCAATTCTTGAGTTACTGAAGTGAGTACAAAGGACCTATCATAGTCATTCAAGTACTGGTTTGCTTTGCATAATTGTGATATTTTTGGGAAAACATGTACTGTTTAAGGTCTAGTAAGAAAGCCTTCTAAATGTGCAAATTGAGAATAGACTGCAAGATGTTTTTTCTTAGGCTAAATCCAAAGTTTCATCACCTAACGGATGTGTTTGCTCTTTTCAGATACCACCAGAGAGTTCTGTACATCGACATTGACATCCATCATGGAGACGGTGTGGAGGAGGCTTTCTACACCACAGACCGTGTCATGACGGTGTCCTTCCACAAGTATGGAGAGTACTTCCCTGGCACAGGCGACCTGAGGGTAAGCTTTGAAATATGTTTTACAGATTGGAGTCACATAGTTATAAGGTTAGCTGACCTCTTTCTTGTTCTCTGCAGGACATCGGTGCTGGTAAGGGTAAATATTACGCTGTGAATTACCCGCTGAGGGATGGGATTGACGATGAGTCTTATGAAGCCATATTCAAACCTGTAAGTAAACAAAGACTTGACTTTGATGTTTGGGTAGTTGTGATCTCTCTGATGGAAAGAAGGATTTTAAGAGTGGATGTTGTTGTTTGTTCAGATCATGGCCAAGGTGATGGAGATGTACCAACCCAGCGCAGTGGTTCTGCAGTGTGGAGCTGATTCTCTGTCAGGAGACAGGCTCGGTTGCTTTAACCTCACCATTAAAGGTAAATTCACAAAACATCCCTTTATTTAGATGCACAACTGCCTGCAATGCCTTGACTACAGTCTATCTGACAAGCCAAATAATCTCTTTTTTTTTTCATTCTGTGTTCTCAGGCCATGCAAAGTGTGTAGAGTACATGAAGAGCTTCAACCTGCCACTGCTCATGCTGGGAGGAGGAGGCTACACCATCCGTAACGTGGCACGATGCTGGACTTATGAGACGGCTGTGGCCCTGGATACCTCCATCCCCAACGGTGAGCCTTTTAATGCTCTTTAGAGTCAAATTCTGTGGTGTGGTGGTAAACAAAACATTTTAGAATGTTTCAGAAATAATTGAATCTATTAATAAGTCTGTTGTCAGATCCATTGATTAAACTGCAGTTGCAATAGTTTCCCAGCAAGTGAAAAGAGAGATATAGACTTGAGTATCCTTATACAAACAATCAATTAACTTCTTCATTATTATCTAATGAACAAAAAATGTACATTTCTCAGAGCTCCCATACAATGACTACTTTGAGTACTTTGGACCAGACTTCAAGCTGCACATCAGCCCCTCCAACATGACCAACCAGAACACCAATGACTACCTGGAGAAGATCAAGTAAGTGCATCAAATTGGATTTATGTGTATTTTCGCAATCGCATTTCAAATAACACGTTAGTAACAAAATCTAGACATTTTTGGTGTTGAAATTGTACTTGTAAATAGCGGTTTCAACCCTGTAAATGTAAGAATTTGGCCATATGTTGGGTACAGGTTTTTATCTCCGGTCCTTTAGTGTTCAGTATGTTCAACTTGCATTCTGTTCGACAGGCAGCGCTTGTTTGAGAACTTGCGCATGCTGCCCCACGCCCCGGGGGTCCAGATGCAGGCCATCCCTGAGGACGCTGTGCAGGAGGACAGTGGAGACGAGGAGGAGGATGACCCCAACAAACGCATCTCGAGTAAGAACCTCTTCCGTAGACATAACTTTCTTACATATTCACATCGGGTATCTGGAGATTATGCAGCTATCCATTTCAAACTAGTGTTCCATGTTTTAATTGAACCCTCTGCTCTGTTAACTTCAGTCCGTGCTCACGACAAGAGGATAGCGTGTGAGGAGGAGTTCTCTGATTCTGAGGATGAAGGCGAAGGAGGCCGCAGAAACGCAGCCAGCTTCAAGAAAGCCAAGCGAGCCAAGACTGAAGGAGAGAAGGAGGGAGAAGAAAAGGAGAAGAAGACTGAGGAGGAAACGAAAGGTATACATACAAAAATATATGTATATTCTTTTTATCTCATTGGTCAGATAATTCTATATAATTCATAGGCAGTTTTGTTGTGATCGCTAAACATTTGTTTGTTTTCTTTTACAGAAGTAAAAGAAGAAGAGAAGGCACCAGAGGAGGAGAAAATGGACACATCAAAGTAAGAAAACACTTGACCGTATTTTACAGGAAGTGGTCATTGTCTGGTGCTAATCATTTCCTCTCTCTTGGTCCTTTAGGCCGAAGGAAGAGTCCAAGACGCCTTGAAGTCCTCAGCAGCTAATGGTGCCAATTCGGTTGATAAGAACAAGCTTTGTTTGGATAAATCATCTTTCCAGGCTGCTGCTGTGGAAATCAGTGAAGAAATATACCTTTGTATTGAGACCCTTCTTCCTCAAAATGGGATAGGGATCTTACTATTTTCTAGGACACCTTTTCAACCTTACCTGTTTATGGACCGAGGTCAAACTGCGTGTTTTTGATTATTGTTTTTGTATTATCATTTATTTTTTATTCTTAATCTTTTTATTCTATGACACTTACTTTTCCCTTGTAATGCAACTGTCTAAAAATGGCTAGTACATGTATGCTTTTATATATCTGAACGATTTATTTAAATCATAGATATTTTGGCTACTGTTTTGTCTTTCAGTCCCAATTGTCATGTGTCTTTGAAAATGTAGTTGAAGCATGTTTATTCAATAGATCCTTTTCTGTAATACATTTGTGTCACTGGCCTTGCCTGCTGAAGTCACTGAGATTGGTTAAAAGGGTTGTGAATACCTGATAACCTTTTCATATGGCACAGTGAAGGTCAGTTACACTCATTTTAGGATGTGTCCTTTACACATTGACATCTTCAAATCCCTGGGACTCCCGCCACACTATTGATAATGTTTAGAGTCCTGTCACGTGATGTCAGGGCTTAAATTCCACATGAATTTGGACTTGAATATCCAGCGTAAAGTACTTAAATGGGAAGAAAGACAAATGCCAGAATTCATTTGTTGTATATATTTGTATTCTGAAATCTGACAGACCATGTGTGCAAACACACTTTTAACACCAATAAAAAAAAACTACCCTTAAACATTATGTACCTTTTGTTGTTAATACAAATGTTAAGCTAGCAGAATAATACACAACTACATTTATAAAAAAACATTTTAATGTCAACAAACGGGAGACATCGCAACACCCAAATCTGATAACTTAAAACCATCCAACAGCAGTATTTAATCACAGGGAAATATAATGCCTTTGCTTTTTCAGACATTTCATCTGTAACAGACACAGTAACTTCACAAAGTGTTTCATTTTATCCAGGTAAGCCAGGCAGTCAGCAACCCATGTCATTAGGCTTAGGAGCTTCAGAGCCACGCGCTCTGCTCCACCGCGACTTCTTCCAACAGCTCGTCCTGCTCTGCCGGCTCCTCAGGGTCCGCCTCAGCCTCGCTCTCTGGGTCGGGTGCTTTAGGAAGCGGTGGATAGTCCACAGGTCTCTGTATACGCACCTACAACATAACAAACATTTAGTTTAAGATCAGGTAAAATATCATTAGCAAAGGTAACTCTAAAATACAGACTGATCTTGGGTACGAGCGCTTAGTGGCAATTTCAAAGTGTGTCATTAGCCAACACTCTTGAATAGCAATTAATCCATTTTAAACCACATATATACTCAACTTGTTTAAACATTTTAAATCGCTAAGCACAAATCTGCCTGCATGTCGTAATGGCAGGGCCGGTTGACATGTAAGTCCAAACTACAACATAGTGTCTCTTGAGACTGTAAAGTTAATTTATTTTGAATAATGTCATTGCAATTTTATAAAGACCTTTTTTTTCTAATATGCATTTGTGACAACACAGGTGTGTCCAATGATGGTAATAAACTGAGTCACTTTTGTGATCTGTGCTTTTGGAGTTTATTTCCAGCCACTGATCCAACCATGTGATGAGCACTGAGCCCACATGAGAAGAGGACAGTTACCACCCCGCTCTGTCAGGTTTGCCTTGTCAGCAGGGCCACTATCTTCCATTTGTCTGTATTAAACTCAATGTCACAGTGCTATTTGTGGATAGAGCCAGGCCAGGTCACTTTTATAACATTCACTTCATTTAATGCTTTTCCATTGCTGCTGTGTTAGTAGGGCTTTTATTTGAGGTATTATAGTTGAATTATTAGTTTGTTGTTACCTCCACACAGGGAGTTATGTTTTCAGGTTGTTTAGTCAGGAGTATTACAGAAAAATGACTCCATATTTTCATGAACCTTAATAGAATGGTTTAACATGGGCCAGTGAAGAATGAAAGTTGATTTGAATCACTGAGTACATAGACTTCTTTATATACAGTCTACGGTAGAGACACATGTTTTACTAATGGCAACAGCCATAGAGTTCTGGCCCTTCTAGTTTTAAAATATATTCATGTTTAACCTCTATCATTCTTTTAAAAGTATTTGTAGAAATAGATTTGTTTGCACTTTGGAAAGAGGTAAACATCACAGCCACATCGACATTAAGGTTAAAAAAAAATTATATAAAAAAATCAAAGGTCTGCCTAAAATGACTTAACATGACATCATCTGGATGTTGTGATATGGTATGGTTTTAAAGGCTGTATTACATTACACAAGTGATTCTTTGAACACACCAGACTGTTGTGTAGCTCTTCAATGAATTGCCTTTACTCACTTTGTCATTATATTCACCTTACTGAGGATCATTTATCTAAAATGTCATTGTGTTAATATTTAGTGAAACCATCATTGATTAACCCTACAATATCATTGTAGGGTGATATTGAAACCATCATTGTTATATTGAGGTATTGGCTGAACGATAACATAATATGTTATTATCTTCATATGTAGGTCCAACACTGATCAGACAGCAGCTCACCCTCCTGGCCTGGATCGGCCTCCTCCTGCACGGACACAGGTAGAGGAATGAAGTGCAGGCAGCGAAGCAGCGGAAGGAAAACACTGTTTCCACCACGGACATTAAGATGAGAGGAACCCACAGAATGATCGTTGTCCCCTGGTTGACAAAAAAAGACGATTTTCAGGCATTTCAAGAAAATATAAAAACTACTGATGGATGAATATTAACATTCAACTTACATAGACACGTGTGGGGTCGAAGGGGCATTCGTATGTGATGCTGGAGGAGCCAAGACCAGGTTCAGAAAACGTGCAGTGTGTGAGCAGACCCCATCCTCTGTTGCTAATGGCTTTTACCATAGAAACTAATAAGGCTATAGTGGAGGCGACCGCCAGAAGGCCGGCCAGGAAGCTTAACACCAACAAGACCCACTGCTGCAAAGAGAAGGTACAAGAAAGTGAAAGCGCACCTCGTAGAAAGACAATTATACACAGGAGATAACAGGCTTTTCAATGTCAATTAAATGTAAGAGGGAGGCTCTAGGACCCTGGAATACAATCCACAGCAAATACGGGAAAGACAGGAAATATTTAAATATACTCTATATTCGCATGGACCTGAAAGTTAGCTATTTAAATAATAAGATATGATCTTGCAAGAGCCAGGAAATGACTCATGAGTGCTGAATGGAGCGAGGGAGAAGCAGTGGCAGAGAGAGGGGAAGAGCATTTACCAGGATCCTGTTTCTCTTGTTTTTGGACAGGACAATGGCAGTTATTCCAACAATAATTCCCTATGGGGTCACAAGAGAAAAAAAGCAAAGAGAATTCATAAAATATATACAGATCAAATATGAGGTTTCAAGCAGCATTTTAGTAAATGTTTTTCTAGTCTGTTGAGGAAAAATTATTTTAAAACCACTGTTCACTGGTAATTATCAATTGGATTTAAAGTGTTTCATATACACAGTGAGTTTTTGCACCACTTACAACCAGGCCTGCCACAATGGCGATGACATTAGAGATGGCGTAGACCATGGTCCGGGCCTGAGAGTGCACGTTGATGTGTCTGAGCACAGCGCCGTGCACCAGCGCTCCAAGAAGAAAGTTGACGTGGCCCACCAGCACCAGCCCCAACCCCATCTTCATCAGGGCTTTGTTGTCCTTCAGGTTGGCACAGCATACTCCTACAGGAAGTAGAAATAAGATTTGACTTCGGCTGCAACCCATCATTATTTCCATTATCGATTATCATGCCAAAGAGAAAATAGTGAAAAAGGCCCTTCCCTGCTTCTCAAAGTCTAAGGTGATGTCTTTAAATGTTTTGACAGTACAACCAGGGCCGTCCCTCCCTACAGGCCGATCATGCAGGCTGCACGGGGCCTCACATTGCGCAGGGGGCCTCGGCTTATGAGCTCGGCTTGTGCGCAGTTCTCCGCGCAGTTCAGCTGCAATTCACGACATGAAGAAGGCAGTCTCTGCATAGCAGGCTAATGGAGATGCAGTTATTTCCAGCATTCTTTATTTGCCATTCATTCAAGTATGTTTTGCCTTTTATCTGCTGATGTACAGGAGGAAGAGTGATAAACTGTCTGTCTAGTTGGCTTACATAATAGTTCAAGTTTACAGCCTAAAAAACATGGAGCATTTTTTTCCCCTTTTATTAATTTTTATGTCAATTTGCACATTTCATGGTGATGCTAAGCCTCTCCCCTTAACTCCTAACAGTCATCATCATGTCAACCACAACACAGAGAAATACTGATAGAAATGTGTGTGTAGTTGTTGATACGTTGCTGACAGAGGGAACTACATTTGAATACAGATTTAAGAAATATCAGTTTTTGAGCATGTCATAAGCATGTTTTGTCTTGACTATACTACAACTATATTATAATAAAATAATATAGTATTTATATTATTTAATTGATTATGATTATTATTATTAGTAGTACTAGAAGTAGTTTATTTGCATTAATTATATTAAAACCTGCTCTGGAGATGTTGTAATTTCTCCACAAAAGTGAGTTACAGGAACTGTACCCAAATCTCTGGATTGCCCTCCGCATTGCAGTAACTCTTCCTGTTACAGTTGCGTCTGCTGAGAGAAGCTTTTCCAAACTGAAGCTTATGAAGACGTACCTCCGGTCGTCAATGGCACAAGAACGCTTAAGTGGCCTGGCTATCATAAGCATCAACGCACAGTTGGCACAGCAGCTGTCATACGATGACCTTGTAGATGACTTTGCATCCAGGAAATGCCGACGTATTCACCTGTAAACGCATACTGAACGACATACATGCACATTTACCATTTACCTCACTGTATAAAAAAAGTAACTGTGTTGATGTTGATAATAATAATAATAAACAGGAATTATATTTGCAAAGTACTTTGTTTCCCTGATCGGAGCATCCCTAATTTTGTTCCTTCCTCTGAGGAAAGTTGAATCCTCCCCCACCTGTAAAGGACAATGTAAGCCCCTCCTGAACCAAACAGGACAAAGCTTTGGGTGGAGTGTTCAAACATTAGCCACTATTTACCTGTCCTGAGGGGTCAGGCAGAACCACATTCTGCCTGACCCCTTCCAGCCTTTAGGAGCTGCAGGAAAAACTCAAGTGTGTGTTGGTCATAATATTGATAGTATAATGTTGACACTGTAATGTACAGACCCTAACAAAAAATAAATATTAAATGATTCATAGTATTTTGACATGTAGTGATTGATTGAAAATGTTATTAACAGATTGCAGAATGGGTACAATACAGTACAGCTCAATACACACAATTGTTAAGGGGATGCAGACCAGAGAAAGACTTTCGTCTTTAAGTGATAACCCTTATCACTCTGATAACCACTTGATCTTATATTCCAATATGATAAAAGATAAGCTCTAAAATGCAATATGATATTCTATTTTTATAGTTACACATGACCCATATTACACAAACACATAGTAAATTATATTTGATCGCGTTACTTTCTTTATGTTCAGTCATAATGTTAAGACTACTTTAACTTTTATTGGTGAAACTCCAAATTAACTAAATAAATAACTTTTTTTGTCATAAAATGAACGTAGGCTATATCACTTAAGCTTCGACATCCAAACACCATTACAAATGTTAACTAGGGCCTACGTTTGTTACGTCTCATCTCCTTTGAGCTCAGTCACGGACTGCGCAGACCACGCCTAAAAACTTTAGCGCGCAACACACACAAATATTCAGCCACTTTAGTCAAACACGCATTAAAAGTTAACTTACCTGAGTTCGGCATGGTGGCGTTTATGTCCCCTTAGATCATATTAGTGTAGAAGTTGTATAAAAGTCATTTCTGACAGCTTGGGGTCGTTGTCTTCCTCAACTTCCGCTTACCTGCAGGACACTGGCGTAACCTTCCGCCTACCTGAGCTGAAGCTCCGCCCCCGTGCTAGCTCACTCTACAAGAAAAAAGGGAAACGTTGTTTATCTGTTCAAAACCAAAACACATGCAACTGGGACCCTATTGTAGTCAAATTGATTATCCATACATGCAACAAAAATGATATTTCTAAATGTTTGCAATTATTATATTATCAGAAGAAAAGAAAAACATCACATAATGTATTGGATCTTCATGATTATACAGAAAGTTAACTGAACAGTGGTTTACTCCCTTGTTTGTTCACTGCAGGATTTTATGGGAACTTATTACAACAAGGGTATTAGTAACCTAGGTCTCATGCTGAATCAGATGTGGTATTAACACTGTAGATTTCTACTCTACTACATTGACCTGACAACCCATGCTAGTAGGCCTACCCACAATCATACAAGCTACAACACTAAAGTGATAGTATTACAGACCATTCTGTGTAATGAGTAATGTTGGCCCTTTAAATTAATTTGATGAGCATACATATTTCAAATGCAGGATTTATCCTTGTAAGCAAGTATTCAGTCAAATTGTTGTTTTGCTACTTTTACTTTTGTTAAATCTTTATATATATATAAATATAATAATCTGTGTACTACTTGCACCGCTGTGCAACATTTCCTCAGTTAGTCATCACGATTATTTAGTCTTTCTCTCCCCAACATATTAAAAAAAGAATATATATATTGTGCACAATTGTTTCCATAAGGATTAAAATAGCACAATTTCATTAAATATGTTCAACATGTATGGCATAATTGGGCATCTATAGCCCTGGTAAAATGTCAAGTTCTGAAAAGTGGATAAGAATGATATTATTGAGGAACAGGTAAAATACAGTTGAATTCAGGTGTCAGGGATTGATAAAGATAAAGTCAGGAATAAAATCAACAAAATATACAATCTTATAGGCCTACTACTTATGTGTTTTTTAAAAAAGTGGATTTACCACATCTGCTGAATGCCTCCTGTCTCACAATGAAACACACTAATAGCATATAGACTGGCAGCAGTGTTGAATGCAGCATGGCCTCGTTAGCTTGATTGCTAACACCTGTCCCTCATGCCTGCACCTTATTAAAGACACACCTGTGGTGGGAGGGAAGTTATCCCACTTTGAGGCTTGCAATGGGGAGTATAGAGATATTTGTCTGTGTTTTTCTTGCGCACGTAATTGCTGCTCAACCGGTAATAAGAACGCAGGATGCCACATTTTTCCAGGATGTTGAACAATTATTTGACAACATCAGACCTTTTCCATTTGAAAGCTATTTTGATTTCACCCCGTATGACACCATCTTCAGCTCGTGGCGGACTCTGCAGCCTGACTTTCACAAGCTGGCTGAATTACCTCACACCATGATGGTTCCCAGAGTCGAGGTGTTCTGCGATGAATCGAAGCTAACTCTGCTGGTTGATAAGAGATTCAATGGTGTCGTACTGACCGGAGAGGAGCTACAGCTGGGTGGGGGCTGCTATAGCAACAGCGAGCTACCAAACCAATTTGTCTTCACCTATAGTTTGGATGAGTGTGGAACCACACCTGTGGTAAGTGGACAACATGTTTAAATGGTTATTGATTTCCACAGCTTTTGTAAGGATTGTCTGATTTCTCTTACAGATGCAGAATGGCTTGGTGATGTTTAGCAACTCTCTACACTTGAATCTCAAAAAACCTCTCAAAACAGTGTGGCAATCTCCCTCCACTGTGGACATCTCATGCATGCCTAAAAGGTGCATCCTTTGATTTGCCATAATAGTTGTAAATCTGTCTCAAATTATCATACTAAAAGAGAATGCATGTCATTACAGGTCATATCCAAACTTCTTTGACTCCACGCCATTTCCTGAGACTGGCAAAACCTTTAACATCAAAGCTATGAATCGTGAGTCATAAGTAAAACATATGCTGTTAGGCTGGATTTGTTTTCTTCTTTTGCAATAACAGGTATGTAATCGTGTCTGCAGCAACTTGGACTGGTAATGCAGAAACTAACATCTACAAGCGAGGGCAGGTTGTCAACCTCCAGGTTTCTGCCAAAATCAGTTCTGAACAGAAGCAGCTTTTCATCCACTCCTGTTTTGTCTCTGCGTTCCCTGAGCCTCAGACTAAACCCAGGCATGCAGTCATAATGAATAAAGGGTAAGCAGCCAGTCAGGGGTTAATATAATGTATGTCCATGATGTTCTAATCACCTGTGATACTCTGCAGATGCACAGCCCCGTTGTGTTCTTCTCATGCTGTGATACAATTCGTAGCCTCTGGCAGAGCAGATGTAGTGAATCTTGTTCTGAACACATCTAATCTTATTTCTGAGGTAAGTTTAGTTAAAAGTCATTTTTTTTTTCTTCTTCTGCTGTTCAATTAAACAACCGCCTTTTTCTTTTTCTGAAGTTGTACATCCACTGCAGTGTCCTCAAATCAGACCATGGTGTCAACACTGGTTCTAAATCCTGCAACTATAACATCATGCAATCAAGGTACTTGTACACACATTAAACTATACTTTGTGAACTTTCATTACTTGATAAGATTGTTTTGTTTTTAGATGGGAGGACCTGAGAGGAAATACAGAGGTCTGCGAGTGCTGCATCGCGAAGTGTAGAGGCCTGTCAGTCAAGCACCTGTCTGAAGGTCAGTTTTCTGCAAAAGGTGCAATGATGATGAACTCAGTTTTTTTTTCTGGTCTGTAACTCCAGCGTGTCGTTTCAGATGCTAAGGCTATCGTCAGCACTGGCCCTTTGGTTGTTGTGGACAAACGTGTAGAGAGGAGTCCTCAGCCTACTCTTCCTGAAATGCAAGAGACCACCAGTGCTCCGCATCCACGCTCCATGCAGTCTGATGGTGCAGCAATTGTTTCTGGTACTTCCTTATCAAGACCCCCTCAGGGTGTGGTGGTTGTCAGTCAGGACCCAGTTGCCAGGCTGACACTTTGGCTACCTGGACAGGTCCAAGATCCTCAATATGGAGAGATTAAGGTTTCTGAAGACAAGTTGACCGTTAAGTTACAGGCAAGAGACACCACATCAAGATACATTCCTGAGCAGCGACCTTTAACCTCATATCAGGAGCCTCCTCTGAATGCACCCACCAACAAGATCAGAGATCACGGTGCAAATGAACTAAAAGACTTTCATATTTTCGATTTGAATCTTCTTACACCAGTTGATGGATGGCCAATTCCTACACAGATGGAAAAAGCAGCTTTTGCAGATGAAGCTCAAATAAAAAAGCTTTTTGGAAGACCTGGAATGTTTGAGGCTCCACAAGAGGTTGACATTCCACTGATAGCGGAAATGACTTTGAATATCCTTAACCAGCATGACTTTCACCAAATGAGAGATGAGCTGGCAGAAGAAGCTGTGATGCCCAGAGATGAAGCGACTGATTCAATAATTCGCTCAAAAGTTCAGTTTTCCAAAGGCATGGATGGATCCCAAACATTGAGTTATGAAGAAGAAGTGATGAGGGAGCAAGAGGGAAAAGGTGTGACCAGTAGATTTTGGATGGATGGGAATAAAAGGAAACCGGAGACCAAGCAGAGAGGACTGCGCTCGACTTTCCTGGATTTGATAAGGTAACTAATCTTGTAACGTTTGTATTGCACGTGAATATGACTAACTGTATTTCTCCATCTCTTACCCCCAGGAGTATGGACAAGGCAGAATAACTGTATTTCAAGAATAATCTAAAATGGCACTTTAACTGAATAAATCTATTGAGCAATGATCAAGTTGTTTCGTCATACATTTGATTAAAACCAAGGACATCTGGACTCTATACGGCTGAATCATAAGCTCATATACATAGTACACAGTAGCCTGCACACTAACGTAGGGGGAAACACTTGAATAAACTAATTGAATAATTTATTCTGAGATATATATATATGCCTTAATGATTGTCGATAAGGCTGATCATAATAAGTCAGACTTTCTGACTGTTGAGGGTTAATTTCAAAGAGGGACCGGTAATGGACGAATGTGACAATTTGAGGGCTCAATTAATGGCGCATTGTAAAGATGAATGTACCGTAGAATTTACATGCACATTCGATTGTGACCACAGTTTTAAACTGCTCTTGCACAATTTTGAGATACTTGTACTTTACTTTAATATTTCCATGTTTATGCTACTTTATACTTTTACACTACATTTCAGAGGTAAATCGTGTATTTTTACTCCACTACATTTATTCATTAACTTTAGTTACTTTACAGATTTGGATTAATGATGTGAAATGTAATCATCACTTGAATAATACTTTAGTTCCACCAGGAGTAAATTTACAACCCACCCTGCAGTATACAAAGTAATTAAAACAGCTGCACCTTTACCAGCTTTGATGGCACTTTAATGATCAATAATTATAATCAAAACGCATGATGTATATTATTCTGAAATAGATATCTGCATAATTACTACATCTACTTTTGGTTTATTTTGATGCTTACACTTTTTGTACTTTCACTTGAGTCATTTTTGAATGCAGGACTTTTACTTGAGTATTACTTTTACTCAAGTACATTATCAATCAATGTTTATTTATATAGCCCAATATCACAAATGTTACATTTGTCTCAGTGGACTTCACAGTTTGTACAAAATATCAGTATGACAATACGACACCCTCTGTCCTTAGACCCTCACATCGTACAAGGAAAACCCCACAGTTTTAAAGGGAAAAATGGGAGAAACCTCAGGGAGAGCAACAGAGGAGGGATCCCTCTCCCAGGACGGACAGACGTGCAATAGATGCCGTGTATAAATTATTCTGACATTACATTAGTACTTCTCCCACCTCCAGTCAATTTGTATTATGAAAAATGACTTTGGTATAGGAGGCATTTCTCTTCTTTCTTTTTTTTTAGATGTATTTATTTTTCTGCAATATGTTTCAATCCAACTTGAAACGTTGTCCATGGTGGTAACATCCACCCAGATGTCGCTGTGGGGAGCTGCGCTCTGTAGTTAGCAGGGTACAGTGTGAGCTCTCTTTTACACCGCATGCTCGGTTTTGTTATTCTCCCATCCCATGTTTGACCCTGGCCACTAGTTCCTCCTCACACCCACTCTCTATAAAGTGCCCATGCTTTTCCTCACGCAGTCTCTTTACACGGCCACAAAACAAGCGTGAGTGTCTAACTCACCGATCTTGAAAAACTTTAAAAAAAAATAAAAAAAATAAAATCCACAAAATCTTAATAAAAACAAGGATACTTAAAGAAATACAAATGTTTAAAAAAAACAGCAAAAATAATAATTTATAAAAATACGAGAAACAACAGGCCTTGGGCTTTAAACGAAGTTCGTGTCTTTTAAAGGAAGAAACACTTGAGAATAGATGTGATTTTTCAGTTTTTTTCAACAAGCTGGACAACAGAGCCAGCTGTCTTTTTGAGCTGAAGGGCACATCGGAGCCGGAATAGAGCTCACACCAACCGGCTTTTTTCTGGCGTTTCTGAGGGGAACCCTGAATTCATTTATATTGTGAATTCCAAGTTATGGACAACACAGCAACGGGGAGTTATCCGATGGCTTCTCTTTACGTTGGCGACCTGCATCCCGACATCACGGAGGCTATGCTGTATGAGAAATTCAGCCCCGCCGGACCGGTGCTCTCCATTCGGGTCTGCCGTGACATGATCACCCGGCGATCCCTCGGTTACGCCTATGTGAACTTCTCTCAACCCGCTGATGGTAAGAAACACGCGAAGTGATCACTGCAGTTTGAGCATATGTTACCTGCATGCGGCTTTAAAATACACACCTCATGCATCTTTTAAATATTGACAATGTCACCATATGATCTCAATGTCAAGAGTTAACCTGTTTGCAAAACCAAGTACACACTGACAATGAAAACACATGATTTGCTTCTAAATAACCCTGTGCCATAGACTGGATAGTGCACTCATTTTGACCCATATAAGCATGCCCCAGTTGTTGAGAATACTCCTGCCAGCACTCACACCCATGCAGTTTGAACTGTACTTGAAAGTGAATAGAAGCATCTCTTTAATGCCCAATCAATTGGGAATATCAAAACCGTTTGCAGTCTCACTTAATCTGCCCAAATTACCCATTTCTGCTCCTATTTAGGGCTACTGGGTGTAACCAATTCACATTGCCCTCTGTTGCTATGTGCAAGAGAAGGGACAGCTGAACAATGACTCCTGCAATGCCAGCTTGACATGTCTCCTTTGTATTGTCTGGCACATGCAGTAATAGTACAATACTCTATCCTGTTGGCATGTAATCCCATATTTGGTATTATCTGAATCATAATAGGTTTATCTGTAATATCGTAACCACTTGAGGGTTGTTAATCTATTAGGACATTGTGCCTTGAGTCAAAGCATTGAGCAATAGTAGCAGGTGCTGTGGTGGCCTGCTGACACTGTTTACATTGTGTGGGCTTTTTTGCCTCCTTTATCAACGATAAACACCTGTCACAATTTATCTGTGCTCGAGTCTGTCACCAAAAGCTGTAGTAACGATATGTCACAACTTCAAGGGAGGTAGTGTCACTCACTTGGTAAGAGCCACAAGTGAGAAGACAACATATTTGTTATTGGAAGTGTAGACATGGGGGGGATGGTAACTGTTGGGTAGTTAGCATGTGCCTGTGGAGCAATAGCTTGCTGTCTGTAAATAAATCTAACTTCTGTATATCTGTTTCATTCAGAGTAACGCAGTAGTCATGCACTCTCTGTTGATTTCTTTATGAATCCCACTCTGAGGCGTAGTGTTGCTCATTTGAGCATTCTTGTTGAGTGGCTCTTCCCCATCAATGGTAGAGAATGCTCTACTCACACTCTATGCCAGCACATACCTCCCAGGACCCCTCTCTAAATATAGAACTTCTTTCTGAGCAGCACTTAATTTGCCTGGCAGAAATTCTTTTAAGTTTTTACCTTGACAGAAATTGTTAACCAACGACGTCGACAACATTTGACCACTCTGTTTAACTACCGTTCTTAATTATTTAATTAATCATTTAAAATAGTAATTATTACATAGATCAAGCTGACCTTTTTAAAACTACAATTCCCAATCTGAACGTTCCAGAAGACCACATGTTTGACAGCGGTCACACACCTTCTCTGAGCACACAGGCTATGAAGTACAATTATGATCCAAACTGCTGATGCCAGCAGACACAAGGCAGCGCCGTTTTGTTTATCAGACACTTTTAGCTGGAAAGCCTGGCCTGTGTGTGTGTGTGTGTGTGTGTGTGTGTGTGTGTGTGTGTGTGTGTGTGTGTGTGTGTGTGGTGTGTGTGTGTGTGTGTGTGTGTGTGTGTGTGTGTGTGTGTGTGGTGTGTGTGTGTGTGTGTGTGTGTGTGGTGTGTGTGTGTGTGTGTGTGTGTGTGTGTGTGTGTGTGTGTGTGTGTGTTACTGTGGACAGAACAAAGGGATGTTTTGGCGTTTGTGCACACATGGACATGAGTGCCTTTATGAGAGTTGGTGCAATAGATTGAGAGAAACATTTTATAAATTGAACCTGAACCTATGCCTCCTTCCATTATGTCTTCTTTGAATCAGGTTTAAAAGAGACAGAATGGAGTGAGCAGATAACACATAGTACATCTTATACCCACAATAAGCACATTTGTATTATAATTGGGCCTGCTGCACTGATAGTGCAACTGTTTTAGGTGGGACGTGGCCCAGCAGCATGTGTTGAGTTGGAGAAGGGGGACATGTGCTCCCATCTCGCCCACTGCAGCTGCCCCTGACACATGTCCCAGCTGCTCCTCGCCACATGGTCTGCTGCAGTCCTTAGCCATGTTACATATACCTTGTTAATGGTCTGGAAGCTAAGACTAATACTAATACACTACACTGTACACTTTGGGTTCATCTTATTTCTCGTGGGACGTTATTAAATGATAATTAACACCCTAAATAATCATTTGTATACCAACTTTCTACCTCGTGTTACCTTTTAATACCCAAAGAAAATCTTGTGTTTCATGAATGCTTTCAGGGTAAAAAAACTAAGAAACGTTTTGCTATATTGAAATAAATGGGAGCTGTGTTGAACGGCAGCAAAACTATATCCAATTATATTAAATATTAAGTTCTAGGCTCATCTAGTAAGAATGGTAGTATATAAATAAGACTTGGGTTATATTTAACAATTTGCATGGGATTATTTGATGTAGTATTGTTGTTATTTGATGCGATACTATTTACTTCAATCATCAATACTTCTTGATACATTCTTTGGGTTATCGTGAAGGCATGCAAAACAAACACAGTTTTCTTAAAAAACACGGGCGAGTAATTGATATACAAATGATCATTTTATGTAAAATGTCTCTTAAGGCTCTGCTGTGTGTGTGTATGGCAGCATCTTAACAATTGTGTTTTGACGAAATAGAAATTCCTTGTGTGCATGATAGATGGAAGCATGTTGGTTACAGACATACTAGTAACTAGTAACATATATGTTTTGACTGGTTGCTCCATGTAAACAACCACCCCTGACCTTTCCCTCCATCTCTCTGCCCCTCCTCCCTCCAGCTGAGAGAGCCTTGGACACCATGAACTTTGACGTGGTGAAAGGGAAGCCAATCAGAATCATGTGGTCCCAAAGAGACCCCTCACTCAGGAAGTCTGGAGTGGGCAACGTGTTCATCAAGAACCTTGACAAGTCCATTGACAACAAAGCCCTGTACGACACCTTCTCTGCCTTTGGCAACATCCTCTCCTGCAAGGT